GATGTTGCAGGATTGCTTGCTTTGTTAGTTTTTGAGATTGTAGAAAAGGATAGATAATTTGTTATTACATTGCTTAGTCGAATAGGGACGTTGTTCCTTGAGGATCTAGCCACGGAGTGGGGAGGCAGGGATGCCTTTGGTAAGAGGACTGAGTTTGACCTCTCGGCACTTACCCCAGCACCTTAATTGGGAACGGATCTCTTTTCTAACAAATATCTAACATGTTGTTGTCGTCATATTCATATTAATATTCATTAAAAAAAATGTCTGATTCGGGTAGTGATTTAGAAAGAGTTACACGAGAACCTCCTGCCAAGAAACAGCCATCAGGTCACATAAATTTATAAGAATTTATTTTAATTACAATAAGGACACTAAAATTTCAATTTGTAAAATTGATGACTGTGAAAGTGCTATTAAAATAAGTACCATTCTTTCTACCTCCTGCTATAAAAACTGTATTTGAAGCGATTGAAAAACGTTTTGTCATAAAACAATTCTGCTAACCGTACCATATCAAATGGCAGAAATTATTATGCCGTTACAGTCTCAACACATCACCAATCTTCAGAAACATATATACGCCAAGCATCCCGTACAACATGGTATTATTACCATGAAACGTATTGAGATGCTGAAAAATAAAACTAATTCATTGCCAAAAACAGGAGAAACAGAAAATTTATTAATTTAAACGCCCGCATCTAGTTTGAGCTCATCAAGTTCCCGTCCTTTTTCTATAGTAAAGGATTCCGGTTTACGCAAAATCCTCAACCTCATCATTTACGCTTTTCCGCACACAGCATGGCATCAACATGGGTATCAATCGACATAACATTCGGGACTTTGTCCATTACGAAGATCAGCAGTTAAAAGAAGAAATAAAAAATGAAATCCAAGGCAGAATGTTGTGTCTCAAGCTGGATTCCGCCACACGATCGTTCCCTTCTGGGAGTCAACATTCAGCTGTGCAAGAATGGTCGAATCTATCTCAGAAATCTTGTTGTGAAAGAGCCTTTCTTATGGCAAACGGCTGAAAACTTCAAAAGAGAAGTACTTACTGTACTTACATTAAGTACTGTACTAACACTTAAGTACTTACAGAAGTACTCTCTGATTTTCACATAAGCTCAGAGCAAATATACAGCATTACCACTGACAATGGCCGTAACATGATAAAATATGCCGCTGTCCTTGATAAAGAGGTATCAGTTGCGGATTCTCAAGAATCAGAGGAAGAGAACATCGAGGGCATTCTGGCATCTGAATTAAACGATGCCAACGAAGAAACGCTGGAAAATACTCTCTTGGCGGTTGCGGAGGAATAGGGAAAAAGTTATAGAAAACGTGCCACAAGTAGAGCCGCCCATGAGAATTATCGATCAGCGTTGTTCAGTGCAGACATTGCAGCTTGCCGTGTGGGATACACTTGGCAAGTTTCAAGACCCGATTTATAAAGTAAGAAATATCGTGAAGAAGCTGCGCAGCCCAATAGCTGTTCGTGTTCTCGTAGGGTTGGGACGCAACAAATCTCTATTAGACGTTTAGACTCGTTGGCACTCCACACACGATATGTTAACGAGTCTATTATCTCTGCAGGATGTGTGTACGCAAGTTTTGATGGAGGCCAACAAGAATAATAGAGGCGAAAATGTCGTCTTAACAGAGAACGACTGGATAACAGTAAAAAATATAGTTGCCGTTCTCCTTCCCGCCAAGGCTACAACGAAAACGCTTCAATCCGAACAACTTACAGTCGGCGACATTTTAGCAGCATGGTTGCGATGCAAAATAGATACAAGGAAGGTGAAGTCTGCCCTTGCCATAGCTATTCATGCTGCCATGGAGAATAGAGAAGAAGTTCTTCTGCACTCGATATATGTATCCGCCACTCTCTCTATCTGGATCTTCGCGTCAATGTTTATATATCAGTAGATCAACGGAAGCGAGCTGAAGACCATTTAGTCGCTCTGTGGATTAAACTAACCCGCTTACGAGATTGCAATAGTAACCACAGTACCAATAGTTCAACTGACAGCTTAGTGTCTAACCAACATGCTAACAGTTCTGAGGATGATGCAGACGAGGATCCGTTTGAACAATTACTATGGCGCAAGGAAAAAGCTGTCGCTTGTAAACCTAAAGAACCAAGGAATGGAGATATTCAAAAAATTCTCCGAGACTTTTCTATGCGTCCCCGATTATCTCCTGAAACAAATGTTCTGTTTTGGGAAACTATGAAGGAGACAAATCGGGAGCTGTACCGCTTTGTAACTACTGTCTTAGCTGCGCCCATGACATAAATGAACGTTGAATGGATATTTTCCCAACTGCGCTTTATTTTAAATACGATGTTAGCGACATTCTTTTTGTTAGGTGTAATAGAAATTTTCAGAAGAAAAAATTGTAAATGTAAGTAGAAAATAAAACTCGAAGAAACGATGCAGCTGAATTGTGAATGTATCCATTTCTCTTGTCCAATACCATAATGCGCTCTTGGTTGTCATAAGTGTGGAGGAATATATACATATATACATAATGTAAACACATGCATAAGACCTCTGTTTTCATTTGTGCAATTGTTTGTAAGTATTGTTGTGTAGACCCACAGTATAATTATTGGAAAGTTAAGCGAGTTTGAAATATTGAAAATTGACCATGGCAGCAATTAGACGCCAAGGAACCATTACTTATTACATTAGTTTTTACCCGAGTGGTTTGCACATTGAGCCCAAGGTTGGTATAGTCTTAATTTTTAGATTCCGAATGTAACTTAAAAAATGTCGAGGTGATCCTTAGATTTATTATTGGTACAGTAATTTGTACGGGGGAGTGCGAAACAAAAATTGTCGTCCCCATTGCTAGGGGCTGTATCGAAGCAGTCGTATTAACTAAATAAATGTACGTTGCCGTTAATCTCGTTCTTGTCCGTAATTACCCAAAATCAACAACATAATGTAATTTATGAAAGAACAAAGACTCGTAAAATGTATATTTCAAATGAAATGTTTTCTTTTATTTCACTATTTTAACCAATATTTCCAACATTTCGCTAAGTCGCGATGAATTGCGAGATCAGTGGCGGTGTTATTCGCGGGCTGATTCGACAAATTGTTGTCGTGAATCGTTTCGAGATGAGACACGCGAGGTACAAGAGCACTCTCGGAGTCATACGCAGAAACATGAGCAGGAAACTCCGCGTGATCGCTCGCGCCGTCAAGACCGCTCGACAGACAGTTCCGAATAGGAATATTTACATGCTACGGTAAAACGACTGTAGATTTAAAAACCGTGCAGTAAACGAACAAATTAATTATTCCGAAATTTGATCCGTCGCGGGACAACGAATGTCGAACAATAGACGTGTCAAGTAGATAGAATAGTACGACGACAAAATTGGAACGACGAAAATATTTTACTTGTCGTATGTTCAATGAAGATTTAATGAATGACCATACACGGAAGTCGTTAAAGACGTTAGAAAAACCTCTTACCTTTGCGCGACTGCTACTGAAAGTATACATGATTATTGTTTTGAAAAATTGACGAAACTACGCGCCTTGAACTTAGACATTCCGGACACTTATCTGAAGTATATATATATATTTTTTACGTTTACTAGTTTTACGCTTATAATAGTTTAGATCATTTCAAAATGAAAGTTATGATTTTGAAAATTATAAAAAAAAATAATATTTTCAGAGTTACTATATATGTTACAATCGTAAGGCAATTCTTAATTAGATGCAATTCCTTTAATTGCATATACCCTACATTATTATAAAAATATTACATTTCACATAAGTACAATTTATAGAATATCTGATTCGGGCCTCACATTTTTATAGAGGCACCTATGGACCTTTAAGTTCTTTTTTTAAATGAATTAATATAAAAGATGTAATATAATACAATTGCTAGAATACTATGTATAGAAATCAGTCGTGCACCGAACGGAAGGTACAAAATGTACGTATAACTTCAACGACAGTAATATTTTTACCACAAGCGAATTTATAAATTCAAATTTTACCGTATTTTTTCTTTGAACCCATAGTTTATGTATGTGAAATTTGATCAAAATCGGCGTGTAACAATTGGGTGATGTCCCTTGTACATTATGCAATTAACAAGACTACATCGATAAATTTTGTGACAAAATAAAGTAGATGAACATGATCAAGATGAAACAAAGGAGACATAACATGTTGCTGCTTTCTGCCATTAAGAGTTATGAAGTTGTATACCTTGTCCATACCGGGAGTTCGAGTAACAACATATGCTGAGCTCACGGTTGAGTCACAGGATTTTAGGACTTGATCAACGTCTCTAGAATCCACCACCCATGTCCGTTGGAGTATGGACAAGGATGCAAGAGGAGCTAAAGGTTACACAATAAAGGTTAGCAGTGCAAGAGCATTTAGTGCTCTAATTCGCGACTGCAGACAATAAGACGGATATGGAGGTATGGGTCCATGACATGGATCGAACCGCAAGGTACGGAGGTTGGCGCAACAACGATATTATTAGATATATCGCGAACAATTGCGGGGGCACGCGCGCCAATTTGACAAAAAGCAGCGACAAAGTCCAACATATGAAATGATAAAAATGTAAGATAGTAGTTAGGGGTCGGTTGATCAACACCACCGCATTCGAGAATATTGATTTTGTCAATCACCACATTCAAGAATAATCAATGTTGTAAATAAATTAGTAGCAAGACAAAAAACGGTGCAAAAAAGAAATAAAAGCAGTGCAGTTGGCGACGAACAGGCGTTAAAAACAGTACTAGATCGTTCTTCTAGCGTAAAAGCAATTACTAATTGAGGTTGTACGCGAAAACGTTGTTTAAGGAGTGAATATTATAGTGTTGTTGTCCGTTTTTAGTGTTAAATTTGTTATTAAAAATAAATTGTTCTTTGTTAATTGCAAGTTGTTTTGTATCGTGTATTAAATATCATTGTGACAGATAATGTATGTGACAGTAATTTTATTACCTTCAAGTTGGACCATCCAGTTGTGTTAATGTTGCCTTTACTCTATTCTTTCGTTCTTCAGAAATACATACATCTCAAAACATACCATGTAACGTAAACTAAAATCCACAGCCAAACCTAAAAACAATATCAATTTCAATATAAACTGAAAGTTGTACCATATATATATTAATAAATACTTATGTACTATAAACATTACAACACTTTCTAAAACATTTAGTTTTTAACCAATAAGAATCAAGTCAGCAACGATAATTATTGCGCCAATTGTTCCAGTTGCTTATAAAGTAATTAGAGAAGTGAATATTATCAAAGTTAATAACACCATAAGAATTAGAATCAGCAAATTTTCAAGTACTTATAATGAACATTGTAATTGTTGAAATACAAATTTTCTTATAAAACATATTTTATATATTCCAACTAAAGCACTTTTTAGTTTATAATGCATGCAATTTACAATCTACTATTTTCTTAGCTTTTTTAAAATATCTTTAATTGTATTAGATTCAGTAGAATATTATCTACAGAATTTTTTTCTGAGATTATAAGTTGAAGTTAATATTTAATAAAATTAAATATTCATGAAAAAATCTGTGCAGAACTTTCCTTAGGCTCTAATATATCTATCTATAGCATACTTTAAGAAAAGTAAAATAATACTATATTTTGCAAATGCATAGCTAATGAAAAAATTGATCAGTATTTAAAAAGGAAAGTCCATGTTTATATTATACTAATGGTCATATTCGATGACCACTACTTTAATTTTAGGTATTGATATGAGTATCATATTTGTTTCATTTAATACTTATAATCAGATAAAAGTTTATTCGATCAACAATTTTTGTCCAACAAAAATACCCTTATATGTATAGCCTTTCAATTAAATCAGGTTTAAGATAATTCCCATATTAAATCGGTTTTGTATCCCCCCTATGAATTTTAATGGCAATACATACGAATTGTCAATGTATAATTAAAAACCATCAATAATTTTTGAAAATCAAATTTTTTGACCACGAAAATTTCTATGTAGTAATTAATGCTTGCCATATCAACATTCTTGAGAACATATTAAACCATATTTTTTAAACAAGAGGTATTGAATAATTAAAACTGGGGAATTATTAGCCTGTGTTTTAAAAGCAATGATGCAACATACCATTGTTATAATACTCAAACTTATTGCCGTGAAATTTCGATATAAATGAATTTGTCAAATTTGAATTTTAGCTTATATCATGTAGTTCTTACCTTAATCGAAGTTTGCCGAACGTAGAAAAGGACAACCAGCGAAGGAAACGTCTGAATAACCGAATATAAACAAATAATGTAGTATTCAGAGTCCGAGCATAAAGGCAAACTTAAGAAAACACTAATTAATTGAAACCATTAGGATATTTACTACTTTAACACGTAATTCGCCTCTCTCGCTACTGCATGGCGCTAAAGATGAACGACGACTCTCTCGACACTTCGACGTTGGCGCCCAGCGTCGCCGTCATTGTCTGATTTTCTTTTTTTTTAACGGTCACTCAATTCTGGAATACTCCAACGGCGTAAATTTGTACATTCGCTTTTACATAATAACGTAATTGTAGTAATGTTGAAAAAAGACACAAATTCTAAATAGAGATTACTTTTTTATATTAATAATCGATTTTTTATTTTTTTAACTATAGCACCTTACCGAACAATCTGAAAATATTCTATAATGTACGTTAGTAGATCATCAATGTCATTAAATAGGTAAAATAGAGGAAAAACTGAAATTTCGATTTTCCTTTGTAGTAGTAAAGCTCTCAGTTGAGATAGGGGGTTGAAACTTGGTCTTAGATCCTTTTTTTTTTGGATATTTTATCAAATAACGTATTGTATGTTTCATTTTGTTCAAAGGCATATTTGGCCATCTTATTTGACTGTATCTTCTACAGAAAATAAAACATTCATTTTAAAACATTCATTTTAAATCATTCAAATCCAATTACTTGTGTTAACAACTAAGTAATCTCAAAAAGTTATCAATAATAGTAAACACTATTAAACTAAAGTAAATTTAACCTCCAAAATAAACATAAAGTCCATATAAGTAATAAAATTATTAATATTTTCATAATTTTTATAATATTAATTAATAATTACATAACTATATTTACATCCGAAAGGATTAAAAGAAAACTATTGCAATAATTTAGAATGTTACATATATGAATGAAATAGTGTGTTTCATAATTTTTTACACTAATCTTGCTAATTCATAATTTCATATTTTTCATCATTTTCCTTTATCCCAAATTAGACAGTATACATATAAATATTTCTATTTTGTATTTAACAACTAGAAACGGTTCCTGAATTCTTACTTTTGGTAACAATCATTTATAATAGTTTTATAAATACAAAAAAGTGTACAAAACACATAAAATGCGAAGACTAAAAATCACTGCAATTATAATTGTGACAGTTAACAACAGGGAACTAGTATATGCCAATATGTAAAATCAAAACTTATGAGTAACAGAATAGTACCAAGATATTAACAATCGATCAAACACTGCACTTTTTAAACTTAAGATTTAAAAAATTTTTTCCCATAAAACAACCCATCATAATTTAACTATTTATAAAAATTTAAAGTGGCAGTTTATTTAATTTTAAGAATCTAGTTTCTATAAGAAACTAAAGTATAGATTTTTTAATGTCATTGCTTTTAAATATCAGATCGCATATAAAACACAGAGAGCAAACAAAAATATTTTTATAATAAAATGATGTATAATATATAAAAATAATGATTTAGTTAATGTAAAAAGTCTTTTAGTTAAAATGCACTATTTCTTATGGATTAAATTTTTCACTATGGTTTTTACTGAAGAGACCTAATTGACCTGTATTGTATACTGACATTTTTCCTAATATTACAATGTTTATAAAATATTTAAATAATACATTTTTAAAACCCATTTTATTTATTTTTTTTTATACATAATTAAATATACTGAATAACGAAATTAATTAAACATAATGGCAACATAAAATACAGGTGAATGGTAACATAGTATTAGAAATAAAATATAATAAAATAAGATATGGAAATATAAACAATTTACAGTATTGAAATAATTAGCAATTAAAGCTATAATTTCTTGGTTTTTTCTTATATTTTAAATTGGTTGTTTGCAAATTTAAAAGAAAAACAAAGTCTAACATTTTACAAAAGAATATGCATTCTTTGAAGAACGACTTTATATAAGTATTTTTAAATACTACAAAAAAAATATCTTATCTAAATTTTCTATGTAGAAAAATAATGTAATACTTTTGTTCAATTTATTTGGAGCACTTTTCATGTCCTATAAAAAATGTAATATCTGTATAAACTATAGTTATATGCTTAATTAATGGTATATATGACCACAACTAACAATTTCAATAGTTACTACATACAAAATGGTATATATTGAAGTGATAATGAAAATATCTTATCTAAGGAATTTGTAAACCATTATTATATAAAACGAAATAAGCATAATAGTTTAATTTACTACATTAATAAATGTTCAAATCTGAAGTTAAATGAACAGGAATTAAGAAACTGAAAATTGAAACTTTGGTAACTCAAAAATTTCAAATATGCAAACTGAGTTTGATTTTTCTTTACAAATTAAAAATACTGATAATTTGGAAATCTGCAACTTCAATTGCTAAAAACTGCATGTAAGAATTTTGAGAGGTCAGAAATATAGGTTTTCTTGATTATCAGAATAGTTGACTACTATTGCAGTGTTATATCATTTTTCCCAATCACTACATGATTTGCAATATAATCAGGTACGGATGTAACAAGTATACATCGTTCCATTAATTTTGTTAAACAATGTGCAATATTTTTACTACAAAACTCCCACCTACAATATGTGCAATTACAATTCTTATAGAGTGTGGTATTAAAATATATTGTAATTTTACAAAACAAATACTCATGCAAGACTCATAGTTTCATTTGGCAATTCATTTCTTATGCGGTCATCAGCTATAGGCACACGTGGTGCTTCAAAAGTAAGTTTTTGTATAGTAGGAGGATTATCCCCAAAGCACTTTTCTGCATATTTTTTTCTCTGCTGTTATTGTTTAAAATCTACACCTGTTTTTCTAAAGATACAAAATACATTATAAAGTGAGCATTATTTTTCTGTTAAGAAACATTCTAATACCATTTTCCAAACATTTGCAAAAGAATGTATTACGTAATATTAAGAGCAGCATTTTCATATTCAACAGTGTCATCAACATTACAATTTGGGGTTCCCTCCATTCTTTTCCAACATATTCTACCTAAAGATTTTAAATCTTTTCCTGATAATTTAAGTTTCTTACATTTTCCATAACCCAAATAGTCTAATAATGCATTTAAAACAATTGTTAAAATATATTTTCTTGATGAAAAGAAAAAGTTTTGACCCACAAATAATGCAAAATACGAAGTACGCATAGCAGCAACATAATTTCTTTTTTTTGTTTTTTTTTTGTTTTTTTTTTTTGTTTTCTTTCCCATTTCAAATAAAGCCATATACGTAATACCATCATGTGTATTTGCTTTAACAACAACTTTTAAATTTTGAGAATGGAAATAATCTTGTATTTTGTCTTGAATTTCTCTATTTAAAAAATATTTTTTAGGATTATCGTTATTTAGGTACTTGTAACCATACCATGTAATTCGTTTACTATGCCAACTTATATCTAAAATGTGCATTTCATTATTAATCTTTAAATAAAGAAAAAAATAATATAGTATATATTACCAAGTAATTTTAAAGTCAATATATAGTTTTCCAGAACTCTCTCCGATAACTTTTTATCCTGTTAGAAGAATGTGAAACATAAGCCATACAAAATTCAGTTGCTTGAAATATAATTATATAAGAACTTACTGTTATAATTTGTCTCATAAACTGTGCTACATTAGCTGATGTAAACTTTTTGTTTACATTAACAAATCATTCTTAATCTTACAAGGAAAGGCACGCAAGTGTCCCCTTCCGATTTTGATGAAACTTCGTAGGTTTGTTAAGCATGCAAAAATAAGGGACACGTATTTTTTTTTATCGGCTAAGACGCGGGTTGAAGGGGTGAAACGAGCCCTTAAAGTTTCGACCCCTTTTGGCTATCTCGAAAACCATACGAGATACATTAAAACTTCTAATAGAAAAGTTGTATGGTTTCTTGCGTATAATAACAGGATGTTAACCAATTTTGCAAAATACAATTTGTTTATAACAAAAAAATTTTTCATAACCTTATTTTACAATTTATTCAAATTTGTATAATGACAAAAAGTGTAGAGAATTT